CCGGCTACTCTCATAGACTAGACCAATCGGGCAGTCGTCTCCAAGAAAACCATTTATGAAGACACGGGAATTAGAGATTCCCGCCAGGATCTATAGCCTCTACCCTTCAAAAAAAAAAAAATCGCCTGTGAAACGGTATTTCGCGTCATGCTTCTTGCGAGCTGCTCTTCCTGCGTAGCACTCAGTGATCATCACTTACCGATGACTCCTATCCGGAGATAAATGCTGACGTCAGAGCAAGGCGTCATGACACGACCTCGACGCAGCGCTATTTCGGGGTCGGTCCCAGAAAGTGACGGCTGGCCAGTGAGCGCTGGACACCGGTCTACCATGGTACTCACGTAGACACCCAGCAGGCAGACCACCGATCCACCCAACAGGTATGCGTACAGGTATCCCTGCGATACGCAAGTCACTCGAGCAGCTTCACACTAAAGTCCACTTCGTCTTGCTGCATTTGAAATGCATTGCAGCACGACTTTCGTGTGTCTGTTTATTATTTTTGTTCGAGCATCTAGTGCGTTTAAACATCCACGTGAAATGCCTTTCGGGTACTGCTATAAAATGCAATTTTTTTCATGAACGTATAAAAACGTCTTATGAAACTATCCTCTCAAGCGATAATGTCTAATAAGCATTTTGATTGGCACCATAAAGGAACACCTCTGCCATTCCTTACACATCTCGCTTACGCTCAAGTAGCCACAGAGAGATATTCCTCATGGTACTTACATGAAAGCGTAGAAGTGGCACCGAGTTGTCCATAACCTCCGTCAACACGAGGACTGTTGTGACGACAACAGCTATCTTGCCGTACAATGCGCTCACCATGTTGCACGTCATAGATTTTGTTCGCCTCCTGCAAATAGTTATATTTCTTTAAATTAACTCTTGGATGACGCGATCTCTCAGAACTGGGAAGGAACCGTCAGAAAATGTGGTGACCTGCGACGTCATGATGACGTCACCACGTGACGTAATCACATGACGGTGATTACTTTCATCACCCGTGTCGACCTGTCGTGTTTGATGAGGCACATAGGACTATGGCAATCAACCGGAACTAGATAAGAAGTAATACAGGCTTCCGAGCACGCCGCGCGTACCTGCACTTGGTGGAGCTCTGTGAAGAGTCGGCCGAGCCTTTGCGCGGCTGTCCGAGCGAGTCATCATCGGGTACGGCGAAGGGTGCACGTAGCTCGGGGAGGCTTCCGTGGCCGTGCTGCTGCAGGAGGCTTGAGTCGGGCTCGGTGCCCTCGTTCATGGGAGGCGGCAGCGGCAGTGGCGGTGGCGGGGGCAGCGGCGCCGACGGCATCTCGAATGCCGCGTCGGCGTCCTCCTGGTACGCCCTGAGCAGGTCCCCGTTGCGCGCCGGCGGCTGCAGGGGCTCAGCGGACTCGTCGTCCGCCGCCCCGCTTCGAAGCATTGCGGCCGCGTGCTACGGGGCTCTCCCACCGCCCACACCCTCCCGGTGAGGCCGACGCTCCCGGGGATCCTGTGGAGTGGAGTGTAAGTGAAGCCATTGCATCATTCATCGGACAATCTTTTTTTGAATGGTTCGAATTTCATAAATGCCAAAAGAAAGAAAGAAGCCGCAAGACAGACCAATTAGTCCAGTTCTGTGATAATAATTATTGTTCGGGTCGTATACGTGCAAACGCTACGATATGATTATGAGGCATGCATTAGTAGAGCGCTCCGGAAGTTTCTACCCCTTGGGGTTTTTTTTTTTCACGAGCACCCGTGGTGCGTGCGCTTAAATCAAAGTACACGGGCCTCATGTATTTTCACCTCAATCAAAAATGAGCCTGCTGCGGTGGGGATCGAACACGGAACATTTGAGTGAGATGTACCAACCACTGTGCCACCGTGGAGGGTCAGTTTGGTGGTATCGATCGCCTTCACGACATTAAGAGTGCACTAGTTACAGCCTCTAGTATACGCAACTCCAGCTGTCTATACCCACATGTCTATACTCTATCGTATTTCTGTTCATACTCTTTCTAAACTGCTTGTACTATTTTAGCCGTCCATAATATTTCAGCTGCCCATGCAGTCAGCTGCCCATGCAGTTATGCAAACCTAAGCTTGCACAGCTTGTGTACGCGTAGTTGTTTTGGTTAATGTAGTAAATCCTGGGGATACCGAATTATCATACTTGGCAGCAACTGCCATCATTGTGTTAATGACAGATGTACCGTTTCTGTGAAGTTTTCGCGAATTAAGCCGCGTGTGACGCATCTCGGTTCGCACTTGTTCCTCTCATGTAGTGACGGAACTGCGTAGTTCTGTGGCTTACGCCCGGAGGCGGCGTATCTATATAAGCCACCTCCCTCGCTTTAGCAAGAGAAACAGATCGGCTGCTTGGCAGCGACAGAACCGAGAGTGAAATCTTGAGTAATGGCCAGACAAAAGGGCGGGAGATAGCACACTTATCGTCACGGCCTCCTCTGTACCGAGCCACGCAGACAGTCCACGTTCACACGTTCGGTGTCAGATTTCTCGGGGCTCGCTGATGCTCTTCCTGCTTCAATGTGCTACTTACGACAGTTAGTTTTTAAAGGAAATCGCTTCGAACGTATTTTCCTTTTTTTTTTCACCTAATGTCACTATCGATGATTGTTGGTCGTAGATCAGAATCTCACCTTATCGATTTCGTCAATAACGCACCGCGTATTTTCTTTTTTTCACCCAATGTCACAACGCTTGCACAGAAAGATTACCAAGCGGGCCCTCGGTATCCCGATCAGGACGCGCACCGAGCGCCTGCTCCAGCTCGGAGAACACAATACGTTGGAGGAGATTGCCGAAGCGCAGGAGCGGGCCCAGCTCGCGCGCCTTTCGAGCTCCCAGACCGGCAGACATATACTCCGAGAGCTCGGTCACTATCCGGCTGAAGTGGACGAGAAGATGAGACAGGTGCCCCGTGAAATTCGCAACCTCATCACCATGGCACCGATACCGAGGAATGTCCATCCCGAGCACAATCGTGGTAGGTGACGGGCTAGAGCTGGCACTCTTCCCAAGCAGATTCATAGTGAGGAGCACAGCGTCAGCTTTGTCGACGCGGCAGCGTACCGTGGGAGCCACGCCTTCTCCGCAGTCGTCGTCGACTCCAAACAACAAATCACCAACTGCGCATCGGTTCACACTGACGATCCGACGATTGCCGAGCAAGTGGCCATCGCCCTGGCCATCCTGGAAGGTGAAAGGGAGGTCATCTATAGTGACTCTAGGTCAGCTATTCGCGCTTTCGAGCACGGTGTAATCTCCAAGAAAGCCCTGCGCGTGCTCCAGAGTGGTGGCCGCGACGGCATCAAGCACCACGTACTGATTTGGTTTCCTGCACATGTTGGACAGGTCCAAGGCGCTCCCCCCAACCTCAACGAGTCTGCCCACGAGGCCGCGCGCGCACTAACCGACCGCGCGGGTTCCGGGCAACGATTCGGGGCCAACGGGGTTGCGGAAAACATGGACGCACCTGCCACGTACAACGAAATAACAAAATCTTTTTACCTCGCGCAGAGACTATATCCCCTCCCTCATCCAAATCTTAATAGGCCACAGGCCCTTACGCTCAGATTACTGCAGACCGACACGTACCCTAACCTGAGATCCCTTCACGCTATTTATCCTGACGTGTTCCCCAATGACGCTTGCCCCGCATGTGGGGATGTATCCACGCTGGCGCACATGCTCTGGGAGTGCAAGGCAATGTACACTAACCACAACACTACGTCGGTCAAGTGGGAGGTGGCCCTGCGCAGCTCCCTTCTGGCCGACCAACTTTGGGCCGTCCAGCAGGCCCGCGGAGCGGCCGATAGGCTTGGCCTAACGGTCCCGACGTGGGAGTCGCCCGCTGCGCGCTGACGCGCGCCTTGCAGGACCTCAATAAAGTTTCGCAACCAACCAACCCAATGTCACTATCGGTGATTGTTGGTCGCAGATCAGAATCTCACCTTATCGATTTCGTCAATAACGCACCGTGTATATTCTCGCGTTATCATGATGAGAATTGCATTCGTCAGCAGGAGATAACTATTTTAGCTCTTCAAGAAACAGGTATACTGTACTGCACAGATGTGCCAGTAAGCGAATCTGTAGCCGAATTCACAACATTTTTCGTGCGTACGTTCCTTTTCTAACGAACAGGACGCTCCTTGCGTGAGGGTTTTATACGAATATACGATACCTATCTTTGTTTCCTTTCTTTTTTTTTTTAGAAATTACACAACAAACTTAATACAGTTCTTAATAGACATTTTGATTTATATAACACGCCTTGAAGCACATATCTTCGGTAAAGCGAATAAGACCTGATGAAAATGACGCATACACAAGCACTGGGCTGCAAGTGCGCTAATTTTTGCGTCATTTTTATGTGTGCGTGGTTGTTTCTTTAGAGCGTTGATTCAATAAAATCGTGGCTCACAAATTACATCGAATCAGTCCGTATTACATTATGGGTGGACGACATTGAGAGCAATGGCCAAACGCCGACGCCATGACCAGTAAAATCAACTGCAACAGCGTACAAAACTGGGTGAGTTAGAACTTTATGGTTCAAAACGCAGCGTAAAAAGACGACGCACAAGATGAAGGACGACGCAGGGCAAGCGCTGACCAGTAAAATGTACCGCTGCGGGAACCTCCGTTATTTGAATATTAGGACGTTACATAATATCGTCGGCGCGGGAAAAGTGACAGGAAAAGGTTTCCTAGTGGAAACAGGTATATCATATAGTCGCAGTTTGTACAGATATACGCACGCGCACATAGAAACACACGCATATCAGGAATCTCACCCTCCCTGCCTCCGAAATCAAATCTTGGCTGTGCCCCTCCGTAGTGCTGATTGACCAGTGACGTCATACTGCAGAGACAAAGAGAGACTGGAAGAGAGAGAGAGAAAAGGGGCGCTCTGAGCGAAGGGCCATCCGTTTCCTGAAACGAGGCATGTCCGACATATTCTGGTGCTGTCGGGGGACCGTAATGAATGGCTTATTCGTTGACTTGGGATCGAGACGCTGAAGTATCATTTTAAGAAAAATACTAAGAAGGAAACATCGCACGCACTAAGTAAAACAAAAATAACAAGAAAGAGCATGAATTAAGAAGCATAGAAACGAACTGACAAGGCCACTAGACAGGGAAAGAGAGGAGCGGAAAGAAAATGACACGCGCGATATGTTTGCCCGCGAGCGCAAGCGTGTTCTTATCGTTGTTCCGTCGCTGATTCGCTAGTCGGGCTCATGCAACTAATCGAGTGAGTACGGATCGTCACGCCGGTATTGTTTGCACATGGCCTTCAAAATATGAGTTTATGTCATTTACGATATAAAGATGATCAGATTATAAAAGCAATCTCCTATCGAACTCGTTCGTACGTTTGAAATCGCCCCAAACTGTCAAGAGCGATGTTCAAGCAAATTATGAAGGGCCACGTTTATAACTCCCCCTCTCCCCTTTTATTGGTCGAGTTCACACGAAAACAAGCTTCTCAGCGGAGGCACATGTGAAGACGAAGTGACATGGCATGCTTCCCACAATGAAGTGCCTTTGGTCTCCGGCTTCCTGGGGGTAAACAATGTTAAACAGCTCTTGGAATGCGACATCTGTCATCGTCAAAAACCCGCATGGTCATAACGTTCCACTTTAAACAACGTTGGTACAGGTCCGACTGAGTAAAGGTAAGGGGCAGAATTAAGTGATTGATATGTGGGGTTTAACGTCCCAAAACCACCATATGATTATGAGAGACGCCATAGTGGAGGGCTCCGGAAATTTCGATCACCTGGGGTTCTTTAACGTGCTAAGGGGCAGAATTGGCGCACCCGAAACGCGCATGCCTGTCCAGGAGTAACTAGGCTTGCCGCGCTGGCCAAGGAACGGACTGTAGTCAAGCTCAGCTCCGCCGCTCTCACGGTTCAGCCTCGAAAGTGGCTGTCGTCTTGCATCACGCCCGTCGATGCGCCGAGTTTGCCCAGGCGCGCTGCTGTCGCCGCCTTCAAGGAGCACATTGCCGAGGCGCTCGCGGACACCCGAATCGCGACGCGCATTGGTTCGCGCCCTCCCAGCGTCCCGAGGAAGTAAACGCCGCGCTGTGCGCCGAGGTCTGTCCAATGAGCGGCACAAAAAGGAGGGCGGCAAGGACACGACTCGGGACCGCCAGCGACCAAGGACGACGACGTTGGCACAACGGGATGAGCGGCATCGCCTCCACGGCTCGGTCGCGCCCCAGCAATGGACTACGCATCTGCAGCATGGCGCATTCGTATGCAGCTACGCGTTTGACTTTAGGTTGATGCCGCTGTTGTAGACACGATACACGTGCGCATTCTTGACGTGCACAAAAGGGGAATGCGTAAAAGGCGAAGGGAAATGTGAGCAGTAAAGAAGGCATTTGACGAGTATTGAACGAGAGAGCGGGGCGCCGCTTGCGAAGTGCCGCAGACCGCGCAATAAATGTCGTTCGAGCCTAGATGGTGCTTTATG